AGCAGTTCTTTGTGTTGTCATCATATACACCTGTATTCTAGTACTCAGGCGGCTGAGGCCGGTCAGCCTGCTCTAGGTAGCTGGATCCTGCTTCAGAAATAAAGCATAAAATGCATAAGATGGCTGATTTCGTTCTGCCAATTGTATTTAGCATCACCATGAAGATGGGGTCACCTTCTTTAAAAGGCGGGAAAAAAGGGACTCCAGGGTGGAAAAGTGCCTTTGCTAGTTTAGATGTGGCCTCGCAGGGTGACATGTAACCCACATCTCCCTCTATCTAGCCCCGTGACTCTCATTTCCCCTGTCCAACAAGCAGTGGTTGAGTACCTGCTCAGAATCGGATACTGTTCATATCAAAGATATGATTTCAGCAGTGTGAGGAGGACAGGAAGATATTTGATGTGTCCTTTTCATCTGAGCTCCTTAGAGTTTCAGATATTATTATGAAGTGGAAGAAGCATTGATATTTGCTTTGCACTTCATGAGTTTTACAATGACCTTGATTAGAGGAAGATGGGAGGCAGGTGGACAACTCAGCAGGCTTCTCAGTAAATGGAAGAGGCATGCATGGAAACACAAATGCAGGTGGTTGGTGGTCTTGAGAATGCAAATGAAGTCAGAGCATTAAAATAGTGAATGCTGTCTAAACAGTAAATGCACTGCTATGAGGCCATTTCTTTGGTTGAAGGGGAACTTGATATAGCTAATTTCATCTCCCTGTAGCCAAGTATTTGTTGCCTAGGTGATAATAGCCTGCACCCAAAGGCTTTGGGAGATGCTCATAGACACTTAACTTACATTTTGGATATAGTTTAAATTGTACAAAAAGATTACTCTGTGGCCCCAAAACCATATGTGGTATTTAAACAAGAAACAAAGCCAAATGAAACAAATCAAATTATGGCAAAGGATCTGAACATCTAGATGCATTCAACGTTCATAAAAATATGTGGGGAAGACTACATCATGGAAATATTTGCCTTATATATCAAAAAAAAAAAACATGGCAAGGGGATGAGATGGCTCCATGGGTAAAATGTTTGCTGCCAAGCCTAGTAACGTGAGTTCTGTCCCTGAAGCCCACATGATGGGAGGAGTGAATCAGCTCCCACAGGTTGTGCTGTAGTACACACACCCTGTCCCACCATCCCGCTACGTAAGTAAGCCAATGTTAAAAAACAATCCACGTGGGGTATGAACTTTTCTCTTTGGGTTACTCAGTTTAGAAGTCTCGTCCATAAAACTAAAGGCATGTGCAGAGAGTGCCTAACTGTACTTTTCTCTGAATATCTAGGAAAACTCTTTAGTAGACTCTTATGCCAATGTTTAATCTGGGGGAAATTCATTCAAATGTTTATTTGAAGCAGGCTTTATTTCCAGTGTTCCAAGGCTATGCTAATTTTTTAAAAAAGAAATGTAAGCAACATCTTTGTTTTGTGTATTCTGATGTGTTGCTAATTCTAATGTGTCTGTTTGACTTATCTTTCTCTAAGCGTTTTCTTTTTTAAAAAATGTTATTTTATGTGTATGAATGTTTTACCTGAATGTATGTATGTATGTATGTATGTATGTATGTATGTATGTATGTATGTATCCCATATACATACATTGCCTGTTGAAGCCAGAAGAGGATGTCAGATCCCCTAGAACTAAACTTGAAAACTAGAACTAGAACTAGAACTAGAACTAGAACTAGAACTAGAACTATAGAACAGGCTATAGATGTTGGGAGTTGAACCTAGGTCCTCTGGAAGAGCAGCCAGTGTGCTTGCCTGCTGAGTCATCTCTCTAGCCCTCAAAGAAACTTTGACTTCAGGTGACCGTCTTTGATATAAAAGTGTGGTTCCAGACCCGCTTGCTTTAAGAACTAGTTTCTGAGATTCAAAGAAGAAACACACTTCTTTTTACACCCTGTGAGCACAGTTCACATATTCCTGCCCACCTGGTTTGGTACACACTCAGAGAGGCTCCTGTCACACCAAAACCCCGCTAATTGAAATCATTTTTTCGAAGAGAACCTTGTACACTTGAGAGCACTGTGCACATAATTTGTCACTTTGATGATATGAATCATGATGATTGTGTTTTGAAGCAAGCTGGCTGTGATCATGTGTTAAACTCGAAGGCCAAGAGAGACAAATGTGGAGTGTGTGGTGGAGATGACTCTTCGTGCCAGACCCTGGCAGGTGTCTTCAACAGTGCACATTATGGTAAGCTATGTGTGCTTGCCTCCAGTTTCCCCGTTTATCTCAGCCAGTACTCTTGTGTATAATAGATGTACAGCAGTAATACTTTGTTATAGCCCGTGTACTCTGTGTCTTCACTCCAGAATGATTGCCAATGAAAAAATGTCCACATGTAAACAAACTAAGTCTTGAGCCAGGTATGGTATTTGAATTAATGAATTCACCCGCTCAAGAGAAACCTGATTCTATGTTTTGTTGCCTGTGTTTTTGAAATGAAGTCCAATGTATCCCAGACTGGCTTGGCACTTATGATCTCCCAGCCTTGACTTCTCAGGCTGCACCATGCCCAGCTCATGCTGTGCTGGTGCCAAGCTCAGGGCTTATTGCATGTTCAGCAAGCTCTGTACCGAATGAGACCATCCCCAACCCTAAATCAAATTTTTAATAAAAAAATCAGATACATCAATGAAAATCAAACAGTAAATCCAGTAGTGTTTGACCACATTGTACAAATATTCTCCAAATTTTGGAGACCTTTAAATGATGTTCCTATATATTAGAATGTATACACTTGTGACTTTTTCTGGGAAACTTGCTTTTAATTATTTTTAACATTTGAAATTCTCCCCACCCTCACCCCTGCAAGGAGATGCCTGATCTGTGTGTTGTGTTTGTTTTTAATGCTGTACTGAAAATGTTGACTGAAAGTAAAGGGAGAAATTGTTAACTTAAATGTTGGTTCATAATTGCCACCCTTTTACCCCTTTGGTTTCCCAAGTAGCATGTACAATACAGTTCCAGTGGATACTTGGCTATGCTTTCAATATTATTTGAAATTGTTTTGAGACCACCACAGACATTTTCAATTCCAAAATTTCCTCAGAAAAATTCTCTCTTTTAATAATGATACAAGCAGACCTTTAAAACTTTCCTTGTACAATGAAAAACTTATTTCTTAGTGTGCTATTTTTCAACATTGAATTATGTTCATATGGTTTGATTATGATACTACTGGTAATAATTAGGATGAAAGGGTATACCACAAGACCCAATTTTTATATTTTCATCTATGTATGAAGCACAGAACATTTCATATTCGAATGTACTGGAGATGGTGATGTATGTTACCAGCACGCTCTTTTTCTCTTGGTTTCATGCAAGCTACATAGTTGGATCCCCCGTCCATAACCACTGACAAATGCTTGTGATAAACCACAGTGACTAAAAATATTTCACAGAAGAAAACCCCATACATCAAATTAAAAATGAATGCTTAACCTGGAAAAAAAAAAAACTGAATTTTTACTGTGCAGATCATTTGCAGGATGGGGATGATAACATTTAACCACATCTGCCCCCTGGTGGCTACCTTCATTCTGGCATCTTTTTGGTGCATTAGACTTGCTCTCAAGAGAGTCCTGGAGACTCATGGAAGAAGTTGGTGGGGCTGCTTTATGGTGAGAGATGTCTGGGTTATAATTAATCTCAGAAATCATAAGCTGTACGATACATAGTATAGTTGTCAAACTGTCACCTTTATGCTAAAGTTGTGACACCTTAGAGAGTAACTCAGGCTGCTCCAAAAGCCTACAGGCTATCTGGCACCATCATCTTATTAATGTAATCATGGAACAGTATTGTGGTGATATATTATTTATGATTTACTAAAGCTTGCCTGAGGATTCAGCAAGCAAAGTCAGTCTCGAGCTGTAGAGATCAGGCAGCGGTGGCACACATTTTTAATCCAAGGACTCAGGAGACAAGGAAGATGGATTTCTTGAGTTCAAGGCCACCCAGGGCTATAAGAGATTGAAACAATCTAAAAGAGTATCAGAGCTCATGCCTTTAATCCCAGCACTAGAGAGATATAAAAGATAGGAGCAGGGTCTTCAGTAGTCTGCCTCAGGAGTCTCTAGCCACGTTGAGGAGAGCATAGCAGTCTGAGGGAATCTGAGGAGCAGAGAATTAGGAGATGTTGGACTTTAAGACTCTCAAGGTTGGAGCTGAAGAGATGGCTCAGAAAGACTTGCTGCTCTTGCAGAAGACCCAAGTTCAGTTCTTAGCACCCGTGAAGTCAGGAGTAGTCTGAAGATCGGCCCTTTGGTCTGAGCTGAGGTAGAGGTAAGAGCTAGTGGCTGGCTGCTTTGCTTTTCTGATCTTTAGCTTGAACACCAATATCAGTCTCTGGATCTTTTATGTTTTGTATTTTCAAATTTAATGCATAAGAAAAAATACTACTCTTATTCATGTACTAAACTGAGGGAATTAACAACAACAAAAGCACAAGGAAAATCCTGGAGTAACATCTCTAGAAGATATTTAATTCTGAGCTTTCCCCAGAGTATTTAGCTAGCTATGTGAGTTTTTTTAGGACTAGTGTTAGGAAAAGTTTTGTCTTCTTATTTAACGTATATTTTATACTGCATTTCCTCTTCAAAATGTGCCAGTATTGCATCATTTGATCCAATAAACTAGAGATATTACTTTCATTATACTCCAATAATTTTTTTTTACTTTTCTTCTAACAGATGTTGGTAGACTTTTAAAAGTAATGTAAAATTTGGGTGTAAATATGGAGATTCTAATTTGAGACACAAACTAAAAGCTTAAGAAAAATTAATTTTCTATTATTGTTTCTCATAATAAAATTTGTTGCCACTCAGTCTTCTTTAATGTATCATATCAGTAACCAATTATACTGATAACCCTAGATTTGTGAATAGCATTTGAAATCCTGGATTATAAGTGTGTGGGCTCATGGTCAACTTTCTATTCTATATTCAGAGTTTCAGAAGTAGTAAAAAGAATTAGGAGATGTTGGACTTTAAGACTCTCAAGGTTGGAGCTAAAGAGATGGCTTAGAAAGACTTGCTGCTCTTGCAGAAGACCCAAGTTCAGTTCTTAGCACCCCCTCTCTAATGCTGATTCTAGTACTCTTTGGCTTTCCTTAACATTTTCTTTTCTTTTTTTTATAAAATGGAGCAAAAGTACTTTAATACAGTTTTATCTAAAGTTCTATAAATAGCTAGTTTCATATTTTGAGATATTACTGAATATGGTTCTCTCTAATGCTGATTCTAGCACTCTTTGGCTTTCCTTAACATTTTCTTTTCTTTTTTTTTATAAAATGGAGCAAAAGTACTTTAATACAGTTTTAACCCAAGTTCTATAAATAGCTAGTTTCATATTTTGAGATATTACTGAATATGGTCAATGTGTATTTCAAGAGTATAGACATTTTTGTTATCTTTTTAAAAATAATGTTCAGATTTGGATAATTTTGCTTAGAAGAAAATATGGAAAGGGTAAAGATTTTTCTCCCCACAGTGAGCCAATTCCTGAATTATCTAATTTCTTAAACTGGTGATGTGCAGCTGATAAGGCAACCTATCTGCTTCAAATGAAAGTGATTTAAATATTGTCTTATGTAACTAATTCAACTTGCAATATGACTTTTTAATGAACAGTTTATATCAGAAAGTATAGGTAGCATTATAGAGTCAAATGTACAGAGGCTAACCTTTCAAGAGGTTCGGGATTTCTTTGATGTGAAAATTTAGACTTTTACAACAACAAACCAGCTGGACTTGTCTGCACAAGTGTGTATGCTAAATTCCCTTGAAGGGTTCACTTGAGAATGCTTGATTTCATGCTGTGTCACTTCCATTGCAATGAATGGAAAGCATTTCCCAAAGGGAATTGAATGCAAATGTCTTGCTTTTCCATGCTATTGTATTTAGTTGCTATTATTTTTCTCCCACTTAAACATGTTGCCTTTGTTTGTACCCAGAGATGTGTGCTGCTAAAGTGTAGATAATTAACCTGGCCACATCTTCCTGGGAGTGGTCCATGGGTTCCTCCCAAGTTTAAAGTTAGAAATGTTCTAACAAAGACACTACTGTGTACACAGTAACATGGAAACTTGAGTCTTATTTATAATGAGAAAAAATAAACTCACAAGTCCCTGGAAGGTTTTTTTTTTTTTCTCAAAGAATTTATTGCTTGATCATTTCATGTCACCCAAAGTCTCTTACATAGGCCTGTGGACATCAGAGAAAGTTCATCTCCTTACACAGAGGGTTTTCTGTTCCACAGGACCAATGTCGAGCTTGATTTGCTCTTTAACCTCTAAAGTTGCATCAGCTGTCAGCATCAGTAAAATGGTTTCGGGCCAGGTTCCCAGAACGCTAACTCCATATTTTCTTCAAGATTCATTTTCAGGTCTCACGGAAATTTCAACACAAGTGAAAAAATCAAAAGAGACATACATGGTTAATACAGGGTTTTATTTATTTATTTATTTATTTATTTATATTTATTTATTTACTTTTTTTTGGTTTTTTGAGACAGGGTTTCTCTGTGTAGCTTTGGAACCTATCCAGGCACTTGCTCTGGAGACCAGGCTGGCTTCGAACTCACAGAGATCTGCCTGCCTCTGCCTCCCAAGTGC